GAAAGATAGATAGAAAGATAGATAGATAGATAGATAGATAGATAGATAGATAGATAGATAGGGTGAACCTCATTCATAAGGTGAGAAACACCCCTTAGCAAGGGAGCAGGAAAGTTATTTTTTGAGTGCCTTGTATCGCGTGGTCGTCCTATGGAAAAAAAGGGGAGAAGCCCTGTCCCCCCTCCTCCCCACACTCTGATCATAGTTGCTCCTTCCCCTTCCTTCTTTCTTTCTGCACCAGCAAAGGAAACTTCTCTCTGCTTCCTCTTGCTCAGTTTTCAAAACTTTGAGCTATCTTTCTTTCCCCGTATCCTTACGCAGTTGAATCCTGGTCACTTCAGTCCAGGGCAGTCCTATGCAACTACTCCCCCCTCCCCAGAAGAACATGAAGCCCAGGAAGAAAAGGATCTGTTTTTGAGCTCTCTTATCGATAAAATAATTGCGATCGCTTCCGCTGCACGTGGGGAAGGGGAAGACGGGGGAGTGTTGGAAATATGGGGGGCCGTAACTCACTCTAACCTGTAACTGTAATTTTAGATTTATTCCTTTAGGCAGAGAGAGATTTCATACTGAGGCTGCCTTGAGTTGGAAAACAGTCTCTTTACTTTGGAAATCTTTAAGAGTTCTATGGAGGCTGTGCTGTTTAGAGGAGGGGAAACATACGGTATTTTTTTAAACAGAGTGCTGCCTATTAAAGAACTCTAGGCAGATACGTTCCATTCATTCAGAATCCCTTTTGATTTGTAGCCCCGGACTGCATTTAGAACAATGCTTTTTATGTTTCTCATCCCTGTGTTTATACAGATGCTTATTTATTTTTCCCCACTTCCCAAAGACTGGAAGCTTAGCAGGGAAGGAAGGAGCTTCTCTATCCTCCGAGTTTGCTTGTTCGGCTAGATGTTTCGAAATAGCATCTGTTGGCGGGGAGGTTATTCGGTGATAATAGGTTCTGGCTGTTATAGTGTCCAAAGTCTTGTTACGAGAATATTCTCCTGATGCTAAATCGCTCTCCTTGGCACTTGGCTGGCTCTGTCGCGTCTTTTTCCTGCGGGTTTGCCGTTCCTGCCACTCGAAAGCTTCTGCTGTGCTCCTCTTTTAAAGGAGTTGGTCTGTTTTGATTGTGCCTTGTTCCCAGCTAGAACTGCATGCATTGATAATAGTCCGAAAAGTCTCTATGCGTTCGTTTTTACGGGCTCAGTCCAACCGGAAGCTCCGCTTGGCAGTTTTTCCTTGCACAGGTTTGGTGTGTGTCTGAACAGACTAGCGTGAGCTGAAGATTTGTATTGTCTCCTTTAAGAACCGGAGATGACAGCTGCCAGCAAAACCCTAATTGAATGCCAGTGCAACCCTAAATGGCTTTAATTCACTGGAAAGTCCTAATAATATACATAATGCCCTGCCAGATTTGTAGCCTTGGTAAGCTTTAGAAGCTGGGGACTGACTTAGAAGGATCGTAAAACTTAATGAACTTCTTCGCGGGAGGAGGAGGAGGAGGAGGAGGAAGGAGAATGGTGCCAGGGAATTGTGTTCTGTTTCTAGGCTTAAAAAATGAAATTTTGTTCTGTGCACTTTTGTTCTCTTATCTCTGTCCAGATGTGGGTTTCACATCCAGATGTAGAAAAAAAAATCTTTCTTGTTCCTCTTCTCCACTCCAAACCATTTTCTTGCACTTGGGAAATGAAGGAAGGAGTTAAATTTTTGCTGTGTCCTGCATAGGCAGAAACCTCCAGCTTCTTCCTAGCCTTCTGCAGACTGTTCGGATTCTGTTGCTTAGATGGATCTTGGGGGAAAAAAGAAGCTTAAATTCTTCCTCTTCTCCCACTCTTAGTGATACCTGTTTGCTTGACTCTCAGATGAAGTCCAAACCCTTTGCAGGCTATCAACAGAACGAAGGAACGGCTTGCTTTAGAAAGTTTTTCTGTATTTGCCGACTACGACTGACACCAGTTGTTGGCAATGAGGTCTTTTGGCAATAAAATAAAACAACAGAAAGACAAAGAAGGTTTTGGAAGGGTGCCTGTTTTAAACAAAACTGATGCTGGAATGCTCTGTTTAAAAGTAAATAGACTGTGACATATTGTGCAGCTGGTTTTAAAGAGATTTTTGCGTCCATCTGCATGCACTGTATAATAACAATTCTGGCTGGCCTGTATAGATTTGAAGGACTTATGCATCGAAGCAAGGTTTGGTTATTTTTCCTTTGAAATATTCTGGGTCTTGCGGATCTCCTCTGCTAAATCCTGACAGGAAGAGGGTTCTTTCTGCCTGAACTTAGGAAAAGAAACCCAGGCCTGCATTTCTCTCTTTGCCCTGATGAGGAACAAGAAGAAGAAGAAGTAAATAGTTTCATTTTCCCAATTGGTGCCCCTTCTCTCAAAGGTCTGAAGCCTAGCTGATTCTCTTTTCAAACAGGTTTGCATGGGTCTTGTGGTCGCATCAGTGCACGGAAGCACCACGGTTAGCTGTCGTTAGACCTGTCTAAATGATGTTGTGGTTGCAGACCGCT